TATATATATATATATGTATATATATTAGCTAACTTATTTGCTGCTGTATGTGCCTCTGCTGCTGCTGCTGCTGCTGCTGTTCCTGTTGCTGTTGCTGTTGCTGCTGCTGTTGTGCTGCAGCAGGTTCTGCTGCTGCTGCAGTGCCACGCCGCAGCTTATCTCGTGGCAGCTCCTTAGGTAGACCTGCTGCTGCTGCTGCTGCTGCTGCTGCACCTAGGGGTACATCAGAGGGCCCTGCAGCAGCAAAAACAGCAATAGTACGTAAGGCAGTGGGGCCCCCAGGGGCCCCCCAAGAGGGGCCCAAGGGGGCCCCCCCCTCTATATTATCCAAGGCACGTATGGTAAAGAAAGCAGCACCTGCTGCTGCAGCTAAGACAGCAGCAGCAGCACCAGCAGCAACAGCAGCAGGACCTGTACGTCTTAGTAGTGCAGATACAAGAAAAAAAGAAAAAGAAAAAGAAGAAGAAAAAAAAAATATGCCTATGCGTCTTGTACCTAAGGCAATTACCCCTAAGACAGCAGCAGCAGCAGCAGCAGCAGCAGCAGCAGCAGCAGCAACAGCAGCAGATGCAGCAGCAGATAAAGCAGCAAAAGATGCAGCACCAGCAGCAAAAGATGCAGCAGCAGGGGATAAAAAGCCTGAAGAAAAAGAAGCAGCAGATGCAGCAGCAAAAGCAGCAACAGCAGCAACAGCAGCAACAGAAGCAGCAGCAGCAGCAGCACCTGCTGCAGAACCTGCAGCAAAAGCAGCAGCAGGACCACCACCAGTTAAGAAGGTATTAACAAAGAAAGCAGCACCTGCTATTAAGCCTCCTGCTGCTCCTGCTGCTCCTGCTGCTCCTGCTGCTGCTGCTGCTGCTGCTGCTCCTGCAGCAGCAGCAGAAGCAGCAGAAGGGGCAGCAGCAACACCTGCTGTTCCCTCTAAGAAGACAATTGTTAAGAAAGCAGCACCTGCTATTATGCTGCGGAGAGGCAGCGCAGCAGCAGCAGCAGCAGCAGCAGCAAAAGCACCTGCAGCAGCAGACGCAGCAGCAGCAAAGGCACCTGCAGCAGCAGATGCAGCAGATAAGAAACCTGAGGAAGCAGCAGCAGCAAAAGCAACAGACAAAAAGCCTGAGGAAGCAGCAGCAGCAGATGCTGCAGATAAGAAGCCTGAGGAAGCAGCAGCAGCAGATGCAGCAGATAAGAAGCCTGAGGAGGCAGCAGCAGCAGCTGCTGCTGCTGCAGATAAGAAGGACGAGGAAGCAGCAGCAGCAGCAGATGCAGCAGATGCAGCAGATAAGAAGCCTGCAGCAGAAGCAGCAGCAGAAGACAAGCCTGCAGCAGAAGCAGCAGATGCAGCAGCAGCAGCAAAAGAAGAGAAACCTGCAGCAGCAGCAGCAGCAGCAGCAGATAAAGCTAAGGAAGAGGAAGCAAAAGAAACAAAAGAAATAAAACATTCATTAGCAGCAGCAGAAGCAGCAGCAGCAACAGCAGCAGCAGCAGCAGCAGACACACAAAGATTAACTTCCTTAGAGTTAGCTATGAAGGCAGCAGAGACACAAATAAAACAGGAAGCAGCAGCAAAGGCCCCTGCTGCTGCTGCTGCTGCTGCAGCAGCAGCAGCAGCAAAGCCTGCTGCAGCAAAGATGCTGCTGGCAAAGAAAGCTGTGATGCTTACAGGCAAAGCAGCAGCAGCAGCAAAAACTGCAGCAACAGCAGCAGCAGCAGCAAAAACAGCAGCAACAGCAGCAGCAGCAGCAAAGAAGGCTGAGGAACCTAAGGTAGGTGCTGCAGCATCAGCAGCAAAGACACCCCAAGAACAACCAAAGAAAGCAGCAGCAGCAACAGCAGCAACAGCAGCAAAGACAGCAGCAACAGCAGCAGCAACAGCAGCAAAGACAGCAGCAGCAGCAGCAGCAGAACCTAGGAAAGCAGCAGGTCTTCCTCCTGCTAAGGTCCCCTTAAGGAAAGCAGCACCGACCCCAGCAGCAGCAGCAAAAGCAGCAACTGCAGCAGCAGCAGCAACAGAGCCAGCAGCAGCAGGAGAAGCAGCAGCAGATGCAGCAGCAGAGAAGACACCGGCAGAGGATACGCCAGCTACAGAGGGAACTGCAGCAGCAGCAAAAGCAGCAACTGCAGCAAAAGCAGCAGCAGCAGCAGCACCAAAGAAAATGTTAGTAGTAAAGGCAGCCCCTAAGACAGCAGCAAAAGCAGCAGCAGCAGCAAAAGCAGCAGCAGCAGCAGCAAAAGCAGCAGCAACAGAGAAGGCAGCGCCAACGGCAAAGACAGCAGCAGCAGAGAAGACAGAAGCAGCAGAGAAGACAGCAGCTGCAGAAGAGAAGCCAGCAGCAGCAGCAGCAGCAGCAGCAGCAGAGAAGGAAGAGGGAGAGGGGGGCCCCCCTAAGCCTAAGACAGACACGGAGAAGAAGGAGGCCCCTAAGGCAGCAGCAGCAGCAGCAGCAGCAAAACCTTTGCTGCAGCAGCACGCAGCAAAAGCAGCAAAAGCAGCACCTAAGGCAGCTGCAGCACATAAAGACACAGAAGGGGAAGCAGCAGCAGCAGCAGCAGGAAAGAAGCCAGCAGCAGGAGCAGCAACAGCAGCAGCAGCAAAGGCACACCCAAGACCAGTACCAAAAGCAGTCCCCAAGACACCAGCAGCAGCAGCAGCAGCAGCAACAGCAGCAGCAGCAGCAGCAGCAAATAAAGAGGAGGCACATAAGACATTGAAGGTCAAGGCCCCCCCTAAGCGTCCTGCAGCAGCAGCAGCAGCAGCAAAGTCTGCTACTGCAGCAGAGGGTTCGGGGGCCCCCAAACCTGCAGCAGCAGCAAGCGAAGGGGCCCCCTCAAAGGAAGGCGCAGCTGAACCTGCAGCAGCAGCAGCAGCAGCAGAACCAGCAGCAGCAGCAGCAGCAGCAGAACCATCAGCAGCAGAGAGACAAGACACAGATGATACTTCTTCTGTTTCTTCAGACAGTACGTCTCCTGCAGCAGCAGCAGCAGCAGCAGCAGCAGCAGCAGATAAAAAAGGAGACAGCAGCAGGGTACGTCCTGCTGCTGTGCCGCGGCTAACGCGTCTCCCTTCAAAGGATAAGGAGGGCCGTCTGGTGCTGCCCCATAAGACAGCAGCAGCAGCAGCAGAAGGGGCCCCCGAGGGGGCCCCTAAGGGGGGCCCCCATGAGGGGGGCCCCCAAGATGCAGCAGAGAAGGAGGTACAAGGGAAGAAGACAAAAGGATCTGCTGCTGCTGCTGCTGCTACTGCTAAGGCAAAGGCAGCAGAGAAAGGAAAGAAGGTACTAACAGGAGAGGGGGCCCCCGTTAAGGGGGGGGCCCCCGTAAAGGGGGGGGCCCCCGTTAAGGGGGGGGCCCCCGTTAAGGGGGGGGCCCCCTTAATAAAAGAAAAGAAGAAAGAAGAGAAAAAAGGGGATAATGAGGAAAAAATAAAAAAAGTAGAAAAAAAAATAAAAATAAATAAGGAAAAAATAAATAAAAAAAAAGAAATAAATAATATAGTAAGATAAGGATATATACATTTGTTGCTGCTGTTGCTGCTGTTGCTGCTGTTGCTGCTGTTGCTGCTGTTGCTGCTGTTGCTGCTGTTGCTGCTGTTGCTTCTGTTGTTGTTTGTGTTGTTGCTGCTGTTGCTGTTGCTGTTGCTGTTGCTGTTGCTGCTCTTGTTGGTGCTTTTCTGTTGCTGTTGCTGCTGTTGCTGCTGCTGTTGCTGCTGCTGTTGTTGCTGTTGCTGCTGTTGCTGCTGTTGCTGCTCTCCTATATATATATTATATGTATGTGTGTATGTATGTGTTAGAAGGAAGAAGCAGCAGCAGCTGCATCTCCTGCAGCAGCAGCTGCATCTCCTGCAGCAGCCGCAGCTGCTCCTGCAGCAGCAGCAGCAGCAGGTGCTGCATCCCCCAAGGAATTAATTGCTGCTGTTTCCTCAACAGATAAGAAGGGAATTGTATCACCAGCTGAACAAGAGGTAACCCTTCCTGCTGCTGTTGCTGCTGTTGCTGCTGTTGCAGTTGCTGTTGCTGCTGTTGCTGCTGTTGCTGCTGTTGCTGTTGCTGTTGCTGTTGCTGCTGCTGCTGCTGCTGCTGCGAATTATCCTTTTTATTTTAGTAAACATTGCAACAATTAATTTTTTTTTCCTTTTATTTATTTATTTATTTATTTATTTATTTATTTATTTATTTATTTAATTTATTTATTTATTATTTTTATTTTCTTTTTTATTTATTTATTTATTTATTTATTTAATTTATTTATTTATTATTTTTATTTTCTTTTTTTTATTTGTTTTTTTTTGCTGCAGCATAAGGAAGAAGAGAAGGGCCCCCTTAGTCATGCCAGCAGCAAAAAGGAGATTGGTGGGGCCCCCACTACCCCAGAAGCAGCAACAGCAGCAGCAGCAGAAGCAGCAGCAGCAGCAGCAGCAACTGCAGCAGCAGCAGATGCAGGTAAAGCCCTTATTAAACAAAAATCTGTAGAGGTGCAGCAGCAGCCAGAGGCTGCTTCGACTGCAGCAGAAAAAGCAGCAGCAGCAGCAGCAGCACCTGCTGCAGCAGCAGCAGCAGCAGCAGCAGCACCTGCTGCAGCAGCAGCAGCAGCAGCACCTGCTGCAGCAGCAGCAGCAGCAGCAGAAGGGGCCCCTATAAAGCAGCAATCTAAGACAGCAATGGATCGTCAGCCATCGAAGAAAGATGACAAGGAAGCAGCTGCTGCAGCAGAATCTGCTGCTGCTGCTGCTGCTGCTCCTGCTACTGGTTCATTAGCTGAACGTTTTGCTGCGCTGCAGCAGCAAGAAGCAGCAAAAGAAGCAGCAAAAGAAGCAGCAAAGACAAGCAGACAATCATCTCTTTCTTCTATAGGAGAACAATCCTTACCTTCTGCTGCTAAGAAACAACTCTCCTCAGGTAGGATTTGCTGCAGCAGCAGCAGCAGCAGCAGCAGCAGCAGCAGCAGCAGCAGCAGCAGCAGCAGCAACAGCAGCAG